GCATCACTTCAGAGGTTCCGGGTAGTTAGCATCCTTTGGATATTCTCTCCATGTTGTGCCGGTGTGTTGGGAAATGAGCAGGCAGATAGACTGGCTGGTTCTGCACCACTTGGTCGTGAATTTATGTATGACAAGCTAGACGTGGTGAGGGTCCTCTAGGAGTGAGTGAACAGTGCGGAAGTGCAAATATATCATTACGGTCTGAGGAGAATGGCGTTGGGAGGAGTTACTAAGGGATCTGACCGACGCTCAACACTAAAAGGAAGGACGAAACGGATATACAATCAAACAGTTACTGGTATCATCGGAACTGGAACTCTTCGTTTGCTGCTGAAGATGGGCACGGGGCGCTTATAGGGTTGTCCCTATGATGTCGATTCTTAATTCAACATGCAACATTCAACATCCAACAACCTATTTCTGCCAGGAGGGATTCTCCGTACATCCCGCAACTAAAAACCATAGTGGCATAACCAGTCAGTCGCCTGAAATTATCGTCACATAAAACCTTTTTTTTTTAAAGAAAATTGCAAAACAATGCGACCACTAATGTTGTATTAAACGATTGTAAGTTATTTATGGTCATTAATCCTGCTTTCACAACAACGTCAAATCTATTATAATGAAAATTGTTTAATTTATTTAACGTTTAAGAACATTTATGTAAGTCCAAGTTTTGACAAAATCGTGTGTACTGATGGTAGGTGACAATACTCGTACATTGACTATTATGGTAAATTTCAAAGTTGTTAAAATATAATTGTATTACATGGGCACTGCGCAACTGTTTAGGTTTGTCAAAAACTGACTGTTACTACTGTCTGTATGTACCAGGGCGGTGTAAACAGGGAGTCGTGATCCTAACAATTTAGGACCGCACAGCTCGTATTGTCGTCACGGACTGTACCGGTTAGCATGTACAATTTTTCCCCACCAGAAAAAGTCCATCACCTCAACTGGGGGTAGAATTCAGGTCTCCCGAATGAGACCCAGTGGTTGTAACCGCTTGGCCAGCCACTCCTATCCACCGTCTGTTCCGCCAAATTGCTTCTATGCAGCGCCGTATTATGACATCCCTGTATAGTCATTTATTGTACCCCTCCTCCTCCCTCAGATAAACTTCCTCATTGCCGTTAACATACTGTTTTAATTCCAGAACGCTATTTTAATGCGGGTTTCAAAATGGTAAAAGCAATAACACTATAATATGTTATTACTATTAGATATATTCTGCCACCCTTACTATTTTGCCGTCCCCAAAATTGTGCCCCCCAGTTCAGCTGAACATGTTGCGGTCTGCTTCTATGCTTCTAAGCACCGTTAATTTGTAAGACACGGGGCATGTAAGCCTACGGCGCCACACTTAAGAAATTTATGTTTCTAAACAATGACCCCGCAAGTCAAAATAGTTGGGAACCTTTGGTATAAAGGAAGCATTTGGCTCCTTGCTGCAGTACCGGGTGGGATGCGTGACTGTCTTACCACGGAAACGCCCTATATGGCTGTAGCCAACAACAGTAACGGCATCAATATGAGATAGGTCACATGAACTGATCATGTCGCTAAAGTGGTCCCGTTCACGTGATCACTCTTCTGCACAGGAAGATCAGAAGGTGGCACTCATGGCTGCCTTCTGCAAACGAAAACAGATACTGGGAACTTTATGATTTTTAGAGTGATCATTTGCAGTTATAATTATTGCTGCAAGGTGCATACATGTTCCTGAATTGTAACTGTGACAGTCATTGTCATGTCTGAAGAGCATGAAGAAGAGGAGGAAATTATCTCCACCCAAAATCAAACCGAGGACGGTAAGAAAGGAAGAATTTAAAATTTAGTTAAGTAAATTTTTATTTTATTTTTAGAATGATGAAATTCATAGTGTGAAAACTGAATCACACCATAATAATTGAATGTGTGTCACTGTAGTTCCCAGTGTGGGTTTTGGGACCACATTTTATGGCAAAAAAGAATAGACCCACTGTCTCCTAAGAAGCGTGTCGTAAAAGGCGACTAATTTATTCTGTTTCCTTCGAAGTCGGAGTGCTTGAAGTGCAGCTCTGCCTGCAGAAACGAAGAACCAACCAACAGTCTGCAGTAAATAAAATTCAGTAAGCCAGCAGATCTGTAGAAAAGATACGCAAGTTATAAAACAGTATGATATTTTTTATGTTGTATATGAAAGTCCATATTTTGACAAACAACAAACAGAACCTTCAAAATGAGTTTGCAGCACACACAAACAGCTAATAAGAATTAGAATTATATAATTATATGTTCAAGTTCTCAAGCATAATATTTTTTTGTAAATATTTCTGAGTAAACAAGAATTGCCAAAGAGGTTTTTTTTTCTTTTGATCAGTGCACATTATTTTAAATGATATGGCCACCAGAAAAGTTAACAAACACTTTGTAATTTTGTCTTTGACATTTCAAATATACGTGATTAATGTGTTAATTTGAATTTAAATAATTAAGTGACAGTGTATTTATTTGATGCATTGTACAGTTTATTTGCCATATTTTGCTCCTTATCTTCACTGGCAAAATAAAAACCTTGTTTAACCATACCAGAAAGATTTGCACTTAAGATGCACTGCCAGGAGAAATCTGATATCAAGAGTGTGATAGTGTCAAGATTACTTTGTACTTTTCTTTTATTTAACCCTATCTCCAGGGCTTTAGATTTCATAGGGAATTTTTCTGACAGTCCGACATTAAATGAGGGTTAGTATTAGTCGGTTGTCATGTGTTGGTTGTTTTCATTGTTTATTGCGTCATCATTTCTAGTGTGTGTTACTTTCGTTTGTTCGGTGCCATTACTGTGCCCTGTTTGAAAGCGGTGTTCTCACTTTATCAATTCGCCTTTACCTAAATTTCCTTAACCTGGCAGCATTGCTGCATCTAACGCTACCTCTAACACACCAGTAAAGAGACTGTTGATCCTTTTCAGGACACTTCCCCCACCATGACCCTAAGAGGGCTTTTGCTAGGGTCCGTCCCCAACTTGCACCTTAGTTCTGGCCAAGAGAAACACCTTTTGAAGTCAAAATGTATGGGTCACTGAGTTGATTACACAAGACAGTGAAGTTCATACTAGAGACAACATTGGAAATATAGATATTTCCACCGAAAGAAAGAAAAAGAGGAAGAAGCTAACCCCCAAATCCCCCCTATAATATAGGACTGTCTGGGAAACTCTCTTGGAATTTCCTATGAAATCTTGGAGCCCCAGAGATGGGGTGAAATAAAAGAATAGTCCTGATAACTTTTTTCAGTTGCATTCTGGGTATCCCACTAGGTTCATTGCCACTCACCTAAACCAACACCAAATAAAACATAAAACGTCAGATATTTATTTAATAAACATAATGAGTTCAACGCAGTATCTACTTGGCTGATTAGTAACTGTAGACCAAACATTCTGCATATTAGATGCAAGACCACCATAAAATACAACCCTGCTGTTTAAAGAATCAGTGTCTCTGCATCTTCTTCTTTACATTCTCCTTTATCGCTTCGGTGTCGAGAAAGATATAAGGTCCTTTTCATGATCTTCTGGCTGCTTAAACCATAGACATATCATGGCGTTGTAGAGTTTCTCTGATGTAATCTTCCCATCTTGTTCTTGGTCAACCTCTTGCTCGACATCCTTTAACTCTTTTATTATATGCCTTGTATGTTATAACATCAGAAGGCATTCTTTCCAGTTTGGCAAACCATTTGGTTTGCTGTCTTTGAATGTAATGTATAATTGGTTCTGTGCCGACTTTATCTCCTGTTACCTCATTCCTGATTTTATCTCTTCTGGTCACTCCTACAGTCTTTCTCAGACAGCTCATTTCTCTCAGTATGCTAAGTCAATTGGCAAATACTAATTTCTATGCTGGGGCCAATCAGCCTGCATTTATAAAACTAAAAGACAACAAAAAATAAGAGTTGCAGAGCAGATTCTTGAATGAGTACATACACTGCTGACAGAGTATTTAGGAAAAGAGACGAGACTAGCATGTATTTTATCGAAGAAATAATCATCATGTTTTCTTCTTCTTTCTTCTTTGCGTTCACCTGCTGTAAACTCTGGCGGAAAGTTCTGGTTGTTCATCCAATTCTGGACTGCAGTCCTGTTCCAGAACCTGAGTGTTGCACGTGCATCCGTTTTACAGATCTGACTCATTTAAATGCAGACTGCTGGTTCTTTGCCCCTCGGGGAGATGCACTCCGACTTCAAAGGAAGCTCCCAATTAGTCAACTCTTATGACATGTTTTTGGGAAAGCAGTAGGTCTGTTCTTGTTTTCCCTATAAAAGGGCCCTGGAACCCACACAGGGACTTCATGTTTTGATATATGAAGCAGTTTCAGTATACCTTGGCAGTCCCATATTTTGAACAGAAGAAATAGCGGGTTAGTCTAAGAGTGCTTTGGTAACTTATATGTCAGTGTAACTCTGTTTATGGTAATGCACCTGACTTGATTCAGCAAAGTATATTCTAGGCAGTTGTGAGAGTATTTTACCACACACACATACACACACACACAAACCTGAATTGTGAATATGTCTTCTTCTTCTACTTCTTCTTCTTCTTTTTCTTTTTCTTCTTCTCATTCACTGACTAAACTCTAGCATAAAATTCTGGTTGTTCATCCACTTCTGGACTTTGGTCTTGTTCCAGAACTTGAGTTTTGCATGCACATCTGTTTTATAGATCTGGCTTATTTGTATGCAGATTGTTGGTTCATGAACATCCATTTTACAGATCTGGCCTATTTGTATGCAGACTGTTGGTTCCTCATCTCTTAGGCAAATACACTCCAAATTCAAAGGAAACACCCCTAATTAGTCAACTTTTACAACATGCTTGCTAGAGGGCAATAGCTCTATTTGTGACCTTTTTTAAACCCCAAAATGAAGCCAAGGAACCTAAATGGGTAAGAATTGCAAATGCATAATGTTAATGTTAATTTACCTATTTTGTGACTGTTATATTTGTTTCTTGTAGAAATTCACAGAGTTCGTCCTCCAAACAAGAAAAAATATGAAGAAGACTTGGACAAGCTCGTCTCACAGATCAGAGAAAAGGAGGGAGAACTGGAGAAATGTGTATCCTTTGATGATATACATTTAGTTATTTGAATTAACTTTTTCTCAGTACAAATATATTTAAAGTAAATGTAGAGATGAACATTTTATGCAATAAATCCATGTCATCAGAGGTTAGGAAAAGAGTCCCCCCCCCCCCCCCCATCTTGTCAACAATCTTGTCTCTTTCTGATGTGGGCAGTCAGTTCTCTTCGTAGTTTTTTTTTTTTTTTCAAGGCATCTTTATTACTCTCTTTTTTATCTGTCCGGGGTATTCTCATTATTTGTCGATAAATATTTGCTCAAATGCACATCCTTGACACGCGTAGGTTTGATTTCCAAGGTGATGGTTTTTTTTTTTTTTTTATGTATTTGTGGTTTTCAGTCAGTGGTGTGAGAGTTGCACCATATCTTTTTCATCCTCTTTGTGTTTACCAGTGATAAGTGAGCCCTTGAGTTTGTCCATTTGAACCATGATCCTGGACTTGAGTTTAGCTTGCACATCCATTTTACAGATCTGGTTTATTTGTATGCAGACTGTTGGTTCCTCACCTCTCAGGCAGATGCACTCTGACTTCAAGGGAAGCACCCCTAATTAGTCACCTTCAGCAACACGTTTGTTAGGAGGACAGTGTATCTGATTTTTTTTTTTTTTTTGGGGTCCCCACTGTAAGGCCCCAGGACACACACAGAGGGATTGCACCATGTAAAAGATTCGACCTCAGCACGTAATGTTCCTGAAAATAGCAGAGGCTGCCTTTTTCCTCCACAGTCAGCTTCCACTGTGGAGACAGTATAATTTGTTGTTTGTTCGCAACTACCACGGCTGACATTTAACTTTCTAGAAAAGGGTAATTTTTCTTGACTGTAGAATAAGAAAACTGGTGGAAGTTTGAACATTACTGGTGAGCTGAAGAATTTGAAAGCTGAGAGAAGTGCAACAATCACCAAAAGAAAGCAGACAGATTTTGAATTAGAAAAACTCAAAAAGATTCTTCCTGAAAAGGTAAGTATTGACTTCATTGGTGTAAATGTAAAATTTTCTTTTTTTTCTTCCTATAATGTTCATTGACAGTTTATCTTATTACTGTTCGTAGGGATTTTTATATTTTAGTGCTAATCAGTCATGGTTGATTTTAAATACAATTAGCTATGTTTGTACTTTATTTCTGATCAAACATGTTTATATATTAGTTCTGATCACACTTGTTTGTACATTAATTTGATTTAGCTGTGTTTATACTTTAGTTCTTATCAGATATGCTCATAGTTTAGTTTCTTCTTCTTCTTCTTGTGTTCTCATTCTGATTCACACACTGACAGACACGTTCTTGTAATAAAATTAGTTGCGTATCCTTTACGGAACATTGCAGAACCAACCCCAGTATTTTTTGTCTGTTGTGTTTTTTTATAGGCAAAATTTACATTCAGTAGTTTGCCATTGCTTCCTGAACGTTCAGCTCTCAGTACCACTGCCGAAACCAGGGCAAGACAAACAGTCTGCAGCTGGGATCGAACCCAGCACCCCGGTATTACAAAGCTCATCCACAACCCTAAGCTACAGATGCTGACTTCATGTAATCAACTTGACTGTTTTTAGAAGTTCCCTTTTTGTTTCATACAACTTTGAGTACATACTTTAGTTCTAATCAGCCATGTTTGTGCTCGGGAGCCATAGTTGTGTAGCAGCAAGATACTCGTCTGCGGATCCAAAAGTCGTGGGTTCAGACTTTTTTTTTTTGTAAATGGCCTTGGCTCTCAGGTCAGTCCTGCCTTTAATGGGTAACGAGTCTCAATTCTTGGGAAGTAATGTTGGCCAAATGACCTTATTACCCACTGACTACCGATTGGCCCATAAATTATAGGTCTAGCCCTATATACCCAGTATGCCTGAAGGTTTTGGGAAAGGTCCTTTACTTACTAACTTTTTTCATGTTTGTACTTATTGTGGTAATAATTTGTGATAGTGTACCTCTCTTCAGCAACAGTCAAGCTGATTAAATTGGGATATAAATACAGTGTGTCTGGTATTTATGCTGTGGGCTATATTTTTTAAAATTTGTATCTCCAGATGTGCCAGCTTGGACAACTAGAATCGTCTCTCATCTATAAAAATGAGGAGAAAATAAATTTGGCAATTCAGTAAGTGTTTGTTTAATTCCTGTTTTAGTTATCTAACTAGCTGATTATTATTTTTTTATTGCTGAAAACCAGTAAAAAAAATAATGATAGATTTATGAGTGATTAAAAGTCAAGATAAAGATCTTAGTAAAAAAATTTTAAAAACACAATGTTCTCTAAAAATGCGATATCAAGGTAAATGAAACAGGCTTGAAGTAAGTCAGTCGTCAAAGTTTAAACTAAACTATAGATGAGTCACCCCATAACTGCTCTGTTCCTACACCAGTGACAGTTTTAAACAAAATGCCTTTTGTGTCCCATTTGAAAACTAGTGTTTAAAAAAAGTTAGTTGCGTATCATTTACAGGACATTGCAAAACCAACCCCCAGCATTTTTTTGGATGTTGTTGATTTTTTAGGCAAATTTACATCCAGTAGTTTGCCATTGCTTTCTGGACAGTAGGCTTCTCAATACCACAGTCAAAACCAATGCAAGGCGCCAGAGCCGCAGCAGGGTCAGACCCGACACCCTGGCATTACGAAGCGTGTTCGCAACCCCTAAGCCACAAACGCCGACTAACAAAACAAGTGTATAAAAAAATAAATCCTGGCAAAATCCAGAAGCATGGGCGCACAGTATGTCCACTGCTAACAACCCACCACTAGAACGCACACGGTCTGCCCACCATTTTCTGAATATAACAGCACAAACCACTGTGTGCACAGATGTATGACACTCTACAGGAAATACACAGCTCACAGTTTGGCACCAGACAGTTAACAGCCTGTTTCACCAAGTACTAACTTTGCAACAAAACCGTGGACTCCTGTCTGTGTATGGGAAAAATGCATTAGCAAACCATGGCCAGAGGGAAACAATATTCCAAGACTTTAAAGGAATGCCTGCCTATCAACCATATTTGACCAGAAGTCAGGAAGCATGTCAATATGATCATCTTGTATTTGATACAGTAAGTGCCAGTTTGTGACTCAGAAATGTTAAAATCTCTTTACCAAAATTTAACTATGCATTTTGAGAACAGGTCACTGCACACTGGCCATATATCTGTGTTTATTGGATTGTGTCACATCTTAAAGTGACTAGATTTAGCCTTCTCTGGCTGGCAGGGATAAAATGCAACTATCAGTGGAAACCCTGCGGTAAACTAAAATTTCCTAACTTCATTTTTGTTGTTTTACAAGTTCTAAACATTAATGATTGCATGTACAAATTGGAACAGCAAATTCATCACAGTCTGGTGAGAGTGATGCAGCGAGGAGTGACGAGGGAAGGGGGGTGGCTGGTACTCGACGCTCAGAGGAAGGGCAAAACGGACATATAATCAGAACTGCTACTAGAACCATTGATACTGGAACTCTGCATTGGCTGCTGAAGATGTGGACGGAGTGCTTATGGGAATGCCCCAAGTGCTGTGATGTCGGTTCTTGACTCAGATCGAATTAAACATTTATGAACACATTTATATTCACAATTTCTCTCTGTCCACCCCTCCCCCTTTTCTTCCCTTTCTCTGTCTGTATCCCATTGTCTTCCCCCTTCCCCTCTCTCCTCACTCATACATACTGAGCTCACACTTCTTTCCCTCACACTTCTCTCATGCTATTTGGTTCATTTTATTTTAATGTAAAAATATATGTATTTCACATTCTTCCCTGTAGTTGATTTTGATGTTGACCTATTTTACAATTTCAGACGGCTGGAATATAACCTGAATGTGCAACATTTCAAGCTGGCCGAGGAGAAAAAAATCGTCTCTGAGATTGACAGACTCAAAAGATCCAAGAAAACACTTGTGTATGTCTTTTAAACTAATATACAGTATACACCTACCCATATGGGAAGCAAAGAACAGTTATTGTTAGCAATGTATTTCTTATCATCTTATTTCTCATGTGCACAGAGACCTCCATGGTAATGCTCATCTACTTCTTCTTCGTTTGTTCTTAAAAGAGTGGTTGGCAGATTGTATTGTAGTTAATAGCTAGGTTGTGATATCTGCATCTTTTGACACAACACATTTGATTTAAGCAAACCCTTGATCACTTTTTTTTTATAACATGTGTAATAAGAAGCAGCCTGTTCCCTTTTTTTTCTCCTAAAAGTGAGGACCTGAAACTCTAATGGATAAATAAAAGCAGTAGCTAGTTTAATCTTCATGACATTTCTGTACAGGTTTTCGTTGAAGAAAATGAGATTTAAAAAAAAAATTATGTTGCATTACATCTTTAAGAGAGTGCTAAAGTGTTACATAGAACCTGTTCTGCTGTATGGCAGCAAATCTTGGGATGTCAGTGAACAAATTAAGCAGAATTAGGAAGCAACAGAGATGTGGTTTCTGAGACAAATGTTACTTATACCTTGGACGGCCAGAATAACTAACAACGATTGTTTGAAAGAAGCTAATGAAATTATATCTCTATATACAACAATAAGAAGGAGACAAACACTGTTCTTTGTCCACATAATGAGAAGAACGGCATTGAAAAACATCACAACAACTGGAAAGATCAGTGGAAAAGGGGGTAGAGGCAGACCAAGAGATGCTGAGTGGGCTGTAATGATGGCATAGAGGGATACCATCAAGAGAGCTGTTCCAGGCAACCAGGGATCGTGATCTGTGCAAATGCATGAGCGCCTATGCCAACTGGCAAGGCACATGATGATTACATCTTCTCCGTTAAGAATAATAGAATAATATATAACTCACTTCAGAACAACTGATCTTATGTTATATTTGTTTCATAAAAAAAAAATAATCTATGCATAAAGCTTAGTGAAAATTAACAATATGAGGTGTGGAAGTTATCAAATTCATTGTTCTTCTTGTTCTTCATCATCATTATTCAGTCTGTTCCAGTAACAGAATTACATGCTGCCATAAAATGTTAATCTTCCTTTATAAGTGAGCTCAGTATTAGTTTTTTTTCATTTACAGCCAGTACTTGGCTCTTAGGCAGGAAATTAATGGAATCAGGGACTTGCAGCGCCATATGAGGGAAGAGAGAGATGTAAGTTGTGCTTTACTGTTATATGTAATTTGTATTTTGCTATAAATAAGTTGTACTTTACTGTGCTATATGTAAGTTGTACATAACAATGCTACATGTAAGTGTTTTATGATGTTATATGAAGTAGTATTTTAATACAGTTAGTTAGTTGACAGATTATCCTCATTGCACATCGAACCACTCATTAAATCCGGCAGCGTGTAGCGGCTAACGACGCCAGTTCTGTGTTGATTTATTATTATTCTTTGGCTACCCGCATAGTGTTCTTGTTTGGCACCACCCTGTTTAACTTGTTGTTCTTGCAGCTGACCATGGTTGCAGATTCATAGGTTCTCAGCCGGTTAACACACACGTCTAAACTCTCTTAGAGCATTCAGTATATCAGCCTGGTCTTTGGCTTGTCCAGCTTTCTCAGAAGCCTTAACTGCCAGTCCATCAGCTTGCTTATTTCCTTGTACCCCTGGCATGAAAATGAAACTAATCCTTGTCAGCCGTGAATTCTGTAGAGCCACCAACTACTGCCTTCGGAACCAGCCCTTCTCTATCTTCCTCAGCATACTCATGGAGTCACTGAGAAAAAGTCACTGAGAAAGCATGCCACCAAGTCTGTGTCTCTAGCCATGTTACTGCTTTAGTCACAGCCATGACCTCCATAGTCAGACTACTTGTAGTTATGGCAAAAGCTCCAGAATCTTCCTTTACAGCCCTCCCTTCAACCTAAGCTGTGAAAGCCCATGAGTTTCTAACATTGCGGATTACAGACCCATCGGTGTATATGACAGTATCTCCTTCTAGAGCATTCTAAATAATCAAGGCTTGAACTTCTGCTTCCGCAGCAGCCGGACTCTGTTTGTCTATATTTGTTTGTCTAGTTTGATGCAAACAGAAAAGGATGTACAGCACTCTGAAGGCACTTGCACCCACTCCTCAACAGGTTCTATGTACTCAAATAAACATACCTGTAAAATAATGTCCTCACTTGACCCATCCATGATTTTCCTCTTTTTAACATTTTATTTTCTTAATTTGACTATGAGGTAGGCACGTGCTTGGGAAATTTGTATTCTGCCTTCCATGGTTGGAAAATGGAGATGGTAGCGCATGCTGTATCTCTTGTAGACCCAAGTATAAGGCTCATAGCCTCGTTCTCTCTCCTTCCATCTGTTTATGGCTGAGATTCAGGGTCGCCATCTGGTTTTCAAAAACTTTAGTGCGCTGTATGCAAATTATATTCTCTGTGTGTAAGTTATACTTCTGTGTGTAAGTTGTACTTCTATGTGTGTGAAAGTTGTGCTTTTATTTGTGTGATTTTAATTTACCAAGCTGTGTGTAAGTTTTACTTTACCATGCTATGTGTAAGTTTTACTTTACCATACTGTGTGTAAGTTTTACTTTACCATGCTGTGTGTAAGTTTTACTTTACCATGCTGTGTGTAATCTGTTGTTTGTTATGCTGTAGAGAGATGCAGGATACTGTACTTTGCAGTAAGTGAAATCTGGCTACAAACTGTTAAGGGGAATGACCAGAATGTTTCTTTAACCCTATCCTAACCTCACAGTTCCAGAAGTAATAGACAATTTTCTGGCCCAAATATGTATATGGCTAGGTCAACCCCAGAGGCTTACTGATCAGAAAATAAAATCTGCTACTGATTGGACAATGAACTAATACCTCTGTCTTGGTTTCTTTGCCACCTTTCCTTCCCAGAAAATTCAAGAAAAAGTCTGAAAATTATCTGGCCGAAATTGTTATGAGGCTGTGTCAGCCTCAGAGCCACAAAAGTTAATTGTGTATCCTTTACAAAAACCTAGCCCAGTATTTGTTGTTTTACTAGTAATTTTAACTCTTTCACCCCATGACTTAAACAAAGCCAATTTTCTGCACTTGTTATTATTCTGAAGTTCCTGAAAACAAAAGTCCTTAGTAAAACAACAATTTTGCACATATCACACACAAAAGTAGCTCAGAATCAATTTATCATCCAAAACACGAGTACATATAGAGTGAGTACATTACTATGCAGAGTAAGGAGCGTAATCTGTAAACATGAATGCAACATAGAATCTACTGACTTACATCTCTTGAGGCCCCTAAACTGTTTATAGTGTGACACTTACTTGATTCAGTGACTCGATCGCCAGGTAACTGTTGTATGTAGCCAGTGGGGAAAATATGACATGAATTTTTATAAATTAAGCTATTTTTTAAAAAGGAGGGGGGGGGGGACCCCCAAAAACTATTTCTCTTCTATACTGAACATTTGTGCAGAAGCATGTGTAATGAATTCTATTTGCTAGATGAGTCAAGAATTGACATCACAGCACTCGGGGCTCCGTCCTCATCTTCAGCAGCCAGCACGGAGTTCAATACTGATGGTACCGATCACAGTCTGGTTACATGTCCATCTTGCTTTTCCTCTGAGAGTAGTGAGCCGGTCAGACCCTCTGGTTACACCCAGATGCCTCATTCTCTCTAGTCCATAATAATCTTCTATCTCTACTGATTCCATTGCTTGTTTCCAAAGGGCCTTGACATCAGTTCACCACCCAGTGATGCAGATCCAGCCAGTCTGTCTGCCTGTTAGCTTGATGTCTCATACATAGTTCTCTTTAGTGAGTCAGAAAAGCAGCTCTTATGGGGAAATGGTACCAACCAGAAGTGTCAGTTTTGCAGCTTCTCAGGCGAAAGATTTGTGAGTTTCCCTCAAAAGCATACAGGTCAGAAATTATGATTCTGGCACTGATTATCTTGCTAAGTAAGTTCAGATAAGCAATTAATTACAGATATGCGTCCATCGTGCCTTCTTTGCTTGCTTACTAATTTAAAGTGATTTTTTTTCCTCCTAAAGACCTACTTTCAGGTAGTTGGCAAATTAAATTCAGATGAGGACAAGCTAAGAAAGGGTAGTATGGCTGCCAAGACAACATATTCACAGCTGAAATTACGTAAGAGCATTGCTGATAGTTCTCTGTATTGTTCATTAAATGTACGTTTTGTTCACTTTTTCCAGGCAACAGTAGCACTTCTTTTTGCTGTTTGTATCTTTTTTCTACATCTCCTCCTCTTCATTCTTCTTTTTCTCCTCCTCCTCCTCCTCCTGCTATTTTTCATCCTCTTCCTATTCCTATGCCTACTCTTCTTTGTCCTCTTTTGACTTCTTCCTCCTTCCATGAATATGTGTTGCTAAACTCCTAAGTAACTTTGTGTAGATGTTTCATTAGACCCTCTTAAGCCCATAACTCTCATGTATTTTTTATAGCATGCGTTTAGTAACAGTAAAATAAGGAGCCAACTTTTTTTTTAGCAAGTTATGAAAATGAATGGACTTGAAAATTTGGTGTTGACTGGCAAGATTGTTTTAAAGAGAGCTAGAAGAAGGCAAAGAGATCAATCTCAGATGGCTTGGCCATGTGGGTGGGGCAAGAACCCCCCCCCCCCCCCCCAACATAAAAAAATGTGATTAAAACGAGGAGGATTTTAGATACCACAACAGAGGAAACAGTATGGAGATACGTGTTGATCAGAAAGTGTTTTTAATCAATAATTAAATGCCTGTTTTATCACATTATTAAAAACTTTAACTGTAGATGTACAAAGTGCTTATGAAAACAAAGAATTCCTTAGCTTTTCGTTTTTTATTCTAGTTAAGAAAATGTTTATTTATAATTAACTGAAAAATAATATATAACAGATTATTACAAATACAAATGCACTCAATTTAAAAATTGCTTAACCCCTCCCTTGAAACCTACTTGTGCCCTATTGGGGGGGGGGGGGGGGTGTGAAGACTACTAGCTGCAGTGTGAAATCAGTAGAAAAGGGATGACAGATGATAGTTAGACTAATTGAACAAGTGTAGCAAACATCCCAGTGTTAGATTTTATGTTTTGTACATGCACTTTATGGGAGCCATCGTGGTATAGTGGCTAGATGCTTGTCAGCAAATCTGAGTGGGTTCAAATCCACATGGAGCCAGATTTTTATTTCTTGGCTGTCAAGTTGAACCAGCCTTATATGTGTACCAGGTAAAGTCCTGGGAAGCCAAGGCAGTCTACTCGATGTTGACCACATCACCCGTCAGGGGCTGATTGGTTTATGAAAACATGAGTTTGGCCTCACATGCCCGATGTGCCCCTTTGTCATTTCACTGAGACCAGTTTTTAGCCTGGTGTCATGGTTTTCTGTATTTGTCTTGCGCCCCCTTGGGTGATGGATTTGTTCATCTTTTGGCAGGTTTCGACTACACCATTTATCCATATCTTTCTTGGTCTTCCTCTCGCCCTCCTCCCAGATTTTCTGCTGTAAAAAGTCATCTGCAGTTGTATATAAGAAAATATAAAATCCCTTCACTTTCAGAAATTGATGATCTGTATGAAAGCAAACGACAGCTGGTTTCCAATTACAAAAAACAATTTGATGATTACCAAGATGGCAAAGACAAGCCGAAGAGAGGCAGCTGGAAGAAAAGAGAGGATTACAGGAAGTCATTCTCGACAGACAAGAGAAAACAGCAGTAAGTAGGACTAATCTACATACTTTGTGGCTTTTTTCTAGTTACATATTCATCTGCGGGAGCTGCCATGTTGTGGTGGCAGATGCTTGCCTGTGGGTACTAAGGTTGTGGGTTTCGATCCTCATGGGAACAATCAGTAGAGGTGCCTTAAAGTGGCCAATGCATCATAGGACTGAGCACTCAAGTGAATTGCTGATGTGTAGTGACGTAGTTTGTGATAACCTAATGTAACCTATGATTGGCTGGCTTAGTAATTAACAAAGCTAAGCTCTCGTGTGGGAGACCCAGAGTTGAATCCTCAGTAAGTTGATGAAATGTTTGTTTTTTTGTAGGAGGCACAAATAAAATTGTAACCTCTACATTCTGTGCAATTGTGCTAACCATGTGGCCCTAAATTCTTTTTTTGCCCTGTCCTACACCTCTATAAGATGGGATAAATACATGGAGTTAAGCCAGTTAATTTATGGTTTATGAACCCAGAAAGAAAAATGTCATATGATAATTATTTTGCTGTAGAGGAGCGGCTGGCAGAGCAGTTACAGCGTCAGTCTCTCATGTGGGCAGCCCGATTTCAACTCCCAGACAGGTAAGCTTTTCTGTCTGAGGCAGAAATAGACTTCCTAACCTTCACACTCTATGGTGACGGCACTAGCCATGCAGCCCTAAATCCTTAGGCTCATGACCCCCACCCCGTCTACACCGCCTTAAAAAGTGGTAGATACGGACAGAAGTGAATTTTATTTTTCTAAACGCTTTAAATCTGGCACTATGTTGTTATCATGTTATGAGCATTGTGTAACATTTCTTGCAGAACTGAACTTGAGTTAGAGAAAACATCATATGAAAAGTATTTGAACTGGTGTAACTCTTTAATAAGAGTCCTTAGTCGCTATAACAACCTGGCGGTACAAGAACCTTCATTGGACAGCCTGTCTCCGACATCAAGCATTGGTGAGTTAGTTTGTGAATCAGTATCTAAGCAGTTTATATTAAAACAGTCAGCAAGTTATTTACAGTTTTATCTCTTAGAAAACACTGGATGAGGAATAGGAAATGTTAGGGATTAATGTACTAGATCTGAGGTCGTAATAGAAAGAGTCGTGACTCTCTTAGGCAGTGGCTGTCAACCTTCCTAATGCTGCGACTCTTTAATATGGTTGCTCATGTTGTGGCGAAACCCAGTTGTACAATTATTTTTGTTGCTACTTGATAATTATGGTCTTTGGCCACCCCTGTGAACGGGTCATTCTACCCACAAAAGGGTTGTGACCCACAGGTTGAGAATCGCTGCTCTAGGGTATAGCAAGTCATGTCAAAAATAACCATGGCTTCAAGTCAAGTTTGCAGATTTTATTTTTTAAATTATGATTATACATGATTTTCCCAAACAAAGTGAGGGTGTGTTTAATATTCTGTCTGATCCAAATGGTTCAGCCTTGGAAAGGTTTGGGAAGCTCAGTTCTAAGTCAAACCATTATAGAGTATGCTCTAGGGTAAGAGGAAATGAATGAGTAGATTGGATTGCTGGCAGAGTCACAGTAGACTAAGGAAAAGCAGTAAACTGAGCCACTGTTCTCAGTGCTTTGAAGGAGGCAGGACAAGTAGATAGTTTAGGAGAAGAGGATGAATCTGTAGCCTTGATAAGATTACAAAAACTATAAAGAATTGGCTTCCCTGATAAGTATATTGTCTCAGAAGCTGAAATATTTTGGCCATATCAAACGCCATGGCAGATTGGAAAAAAAACAGTAGCAGAAGGCATGTACCGGGAAGTAGGGGCAGTGGATGACAAACACGAAGATCGGCACAGGATATAAATGATTCCTTGGAAATAAAAGTGCATGAGGCGAGAGAGCTGGTGAGGGACTGAGTTTCTTTCCGGCAGATTGTGATGAGAGCTACATTCTGCAAAGGACCTGCTTCATGATGACGATGATGTATATAGTATTTTAAAAAACAAATTATATGCAGGTGTGTGTGTGTGTTTTTGTATATATATATATATATATTTACTGAAACTATGTGCTGTAACTTTTCACATGTGGTTGTTTAAAAGAAACAGAACCATTGCTCTTTATTATACACAGAAGAGCCTGAGCCAGCGGAAGAAATAGACGATGGCCAGTATGTGTTGTTAAAGAAAGCTGGCGAGAGTCAGGAGCCCAGTCAGGCAACCAAGAGACCTAGTAAGAAAAATCGCCGTCCTCGGAAACAGGGATCAGTGAGTATTTTTCATTAGAACATAAAATGAACAGGTTCTTAATTGACTTTTAAATGAAGTTCTGTTTATTTATTTAGTAATCTGATTAATTGGCAAGACAACAGCAGCTTTTCTTCTCTTTTTTCTTAGCTTTCACTAGCTGTAAACTATGGCGGAAAGTTCTGGTAACTGTCTAATTTTAAACTTTAGGTCTTGTTCCGGAAATTGAGTTTTGCTGCACATCTATTTTGTTCATCTACTTCTGGACTTTGGTTGTTTTCCAGAACTTGAGATTTGCATGCACGTCTTTTTTTAACAGATCTGGCTTATTTGTATGCAGACTGTTGGTTCATGTACATCCATTTTACAGATCTGCCTTATTTGTATGCATACTGTTGGTTCCTCATCTCACTGTCAGATGTACTCTGACTTAAAAGGAAGCACACCTAATTAGTCACTTTTTACTACATGTTTGTTAGGAGGCAGTTAGTCTGCTCGCTCCCCCCCCCCCCACCCCCTCCCCTTTTTCCTTTCAAAAATGGAGCTCTAAAACACACACAGGGGCAACATCTTTTGAAAATGGAGCTCTAAAACACACACAGGGGCAACACCTTTTGAAAATGGAGCCCTAAAACACACACAGGGGCAACACCTTTTGAAAATGGAGCCCTAAAACACACACAGGGGCAACACCTTTTGAAAATCTGTACTAAATATGGCAGTCTCAATTATATTTTTCAATCCCAGATTAAGTATTTTAAGTTCTCATGCTGTTGTGACCACAACACCCATAGAGTACTATAACAGTGTGGGTCAAACACCATATGCCCGATGTGCCTCAGAACATGAAAAGGGTCCCTAACTTACTTTTACAGTTTATCGTTAATGTTTAATATACATCCCAGGTCAGCTGGGCTTAAAAAACATACATGGAAATGTTTCGGGGAATTTATTTGTTGGCACGTATCTTGTGTTTCCAGACGATAGTGTTATATTATGTTGTGAGGAGGCGTGGAACTCACATGACTACTACTGCTACAATACTGTCACTGTTGTCACAGCTACTGCTACCGTTTCTGCTACTACTGCTGCTGCTGCTATAACTACTGAGAATATTGCTGCTGCTGCTGCTACTGCTACTACTACTCCAGTTCTGCCACTGCTCTTTCTGCTACTTCTACTGCTACCTCTCCTGCAGTGACTGCTATTGTGATGGTGAAGGCGAGTGTGACTAGCTAGACCACATTAAGAAAAGTCTTCCACATTGAAAGCATGGGATTTCAGTACTGTTGTTGCCACCATATGTATTTAATGTGCTTCTTCTCAGCTGCTTCATTCTCAACCTTTCTGCCAACTTTTTCTTCTTTTATTCCTATTCTCTTTCAGATTATTCCCCTCCACTCATAACAGGCCATGGTATTTTTATTTCCACGAATGTACCTCAATTCCTGTATCATTCATGTCCCTCTTGCACACATCTTTATATCATAGTAGAGGCTGGTCTTGAGATCTGCCTATCTTTAAGGATGTCCTTAACATTAGTTGACAAGGACTGTGTCCTCTCAGTTTGTTTTGGAGACCAGTTCTTCTTATTTCGTTCACTTGAAATAAATTATCTATACCTAGTTTTTGTCTCTAGTATGAACCTCACTGTCTTTTTTAAATTCACTCAGTGACCCATGAAATTTGGCTTCCAACTGCATGGGCACTAGGTCAAATGTTTTGCATTGATATGCTGTGGAGATTAGTTGAGGCCAGGGGTGAAGTTCCTCCTCTTAGTAGCACAGTGCCTGTAGAGACCATTTGCTACCCATGCAGCATAGTCCCTGGTCCCTGGCAGTGGCTGGGCAGTGTTGTAGAGACTATGTGTTGTCCATGCAGCATAGTCCCTGGCAGTGGCTGGGCAGTATTGTAGAGACCATGTGTTGTCCATGCAGCATAGTCCCTGGTCCCTGGCAGTGGCTGGGCAGTATTGTAGAGACCATGTGTTGTCCATGCAGCATAGTCCCTGGCAGTGGCTTAGCAGTATTGTAGAGACCATGTGTTGTCCATGCAGCATAGTCCCTGGCAGTGGCTGGGCAGTGTTGTAGAGACCATGTGTTGTCCATGCAGCATAGTCCCTGGCAGTGGCTGGGCAGTGTTGTAGAGACGATGTGTTGTCCATGCAGCATAGTCCCTGGCAGTGGCTGGACAGTATTGTAGAGACCATGTGTTTCCCATGCAGCAGTTGCTGGACAGTATTGTAGAGACCATTTGTTGCCCATGCAGCATAGTCCCTGGCAGTGGCTGGACAGTATTGTAGAGACCATGTGTTGCCCATGCAGCATGGTCCCTGGCAGTGGCTTAGCAGTATTGTAGAGACCATGTGTTACCCATGCAGCAGTGGCTGGACAGTATTGTAGAGACCATGTGTTGCCCATGCAGCATGGTCCCTGGCAGTGGCTTAGCAGTATTGTAGAGACCATGTGTTACCCATGCAGCAGTGGCTGGACAGTATTGTAGAGACCATGTGTTGCCCATGCAGCAGTGGCTAGACAGTATTGTAGAGACCATGTGTTGCCCATGCAGCATGGTCCCTGGCAGTGGCTGGACAGTATTGTAGAGACCATGTGTTGCCCATGCAGTGTGGCTGGGCAGCATTGTAGAGACCATGTGTTGCCCATGCAGCATGGTCCCTGGTCCCTGGCAGTGGCTGGGCAGTATTGTAGAGACCATGTGTTGCCCATGCAGTGTGGCTGGGCAGCATTGTAGAGACCATGTGTTGCCCATGCAGCATAGTCCCTGGCAGTGGCTGGACAGTATTGTAGAGACCATGTGTTGCCCATGCAGTGTGGCTGGGCAGCATTGTAGAGACCATGTGTTGCCCATGCAGTGTGGCTGGACAGTATTGTAGAGACCATGTGTTGCCCATGCAGTGTGGCTGGGCAGCATTGTAGAGACCATGTGTTGCCTATGCAGTGTGGCTGGGCAGCATTGTAGAGACCATGTGTTGCCCATGCAGCATGGTCCCTGGTCCCTGGCAGTGGCTGGGCAGTATTGTAGAGACCATGTGTTGCCCATGCAGTGTGGCTGGGCAGTATTGTAGAGACCATGTGTTGCCCATGCAGCAGTGGCTGGACAGTATTGTAGAGACCATGTGTTGCCCATGCAGTGTGGCTGGACAGTATTGTAGAGACCATGTGTTGCCCATGCAGTGTGGCTGGGCAGCATTGTAGAGACCATGTGTTACCCATGCAGCATAGTCCCTGGCAGTGGCTGGGCAGCATTGTAGAGACCATGTGTTACCCATGCAGCATAGTCCCTGGCAGTGGCTGGGCAGCATTGTAGAGACCATGTGTTACCCATGCAGCATAGTCCCTGGCAGTGGCTGGGCAGCATTGTAGAGACCATGTGTTACCCATGCAGCATAGTCCCTGGCAGTGGCTGGGCAGCATTGTAGAGACCATGTGTTGCCCATGCAGCATGGTCCCTGGCAGTGGCCAATGCTCGACACTCAAGGGCAAGGCGAGACGGATATATAATCAGTTACTGGTACCGTCGGAATTTTAACTCTTCACTTGCTGCAGAGGATGAGGACAGAGTGCTTATGGGGGTGTCCCAAGTGCTGTGATGTCCATTATTAATTCAACATTCAACATCTATCAAGTGATAGACTTAAATGTGGTCTATCATTATATATAAACAGGGAAAACACAGACAAAAAATTGCACAATTTATAATTGGCATATTTGCATACTACAATAATTTTTAATTAAGATGAAGCAAATAAATTAATCCTTCTGACTGAAACACAATATTGACTACATTCATCAGTAACTGCCTGTTTCACCATGGCAACAACACATTGATGACCATGTCTTTTTGTCTGCATAACTCTGGACTGAACCAGTTTCTAGCCGTTGTTTCCATGAATCACAATTATCTGTGGTTAGCTGAGGTATCGAGAATTTAGAATGATCTTATACCCAATATACTCCATAGTCCTTAACTCATAAGATGCATTGTTTGTCTGTGTGATTATGGATCATCATTTGCACTGATGTTATTGCACAGCTCATATTTGCCACTGTCTTTGCCTGTAATCCAATAGATCAAGAAGATCACACTTTCTTCAGACATGGTGCAGCAGTTAGCAGAACTGGGACTGAAAGCTCCAAATTCTTTGTCAGAGGTCACTGAAGCCATTGAAAGCTTAAAACTGAAAAAGGTTGGTCCCTGAGTTCATATTTTAAATTTGTAAAGTCCAGGTGACTTTTACTCCGATCCCAGAAACTGACCAACTTATAGAAGGCAGAAATAGAAACATCTTTTTATTTGTTCTATGTGTGGATATGTTAAGTTGGATGAGTATGCAAATATTTGTGTGTGTATGTGTGGTGGGGAAAAGAATGAGTTAATTATTTCAGTTCCAGAAGTTTTACAGGAGATGCCAGAGTGAAGAAATAACCATGATGACAAATCATGAGTGCATTACTTTTAATGTGGCGATATACAGAGTGTTAGTGACCATTGGGGATGCCAGATTTCTTTAATATGTTATGGCTAAATGTTACAGGTAAGGGATCGTATTATGCTGTGGAGGGTATCGTATTTTCACTCACACACAAGCATTTCTTGGGACCTAAAGAGCTAAAGTAACTTATCTCTTATGATAAAGTAACTATTTTAGGAGATAATGAGTTAAAGTAAGTATCTCTTAGGATAGAATCAAATTAAAAAAATAACCACTTAGGATAGAACATGTTCAAGTAACAGTTGTTTGCAACTAACATGTTTAAATTTGTTGTCTGTATAGGCACATCTGGAAGTCGAGCAGCAAGCCAGCGAAGTTGCCAGTGATGCAGGGATCTCTGCGACAGAGAGCATGATTTGTGAAATGTCTCGGCAAGCAAGCAAGACAGAAAGCTACGAAGGTGCCGTGGACACAGATCCAGGAGATCAGGTATATGTCGACCTGCTTCGCAAGTGCCAGGAAGGTCATAGTGAACATCCTGAAGGATGGGAAACTTTGGGAGCTGTTGGCGGCTGTGATAATCTGCCAGGGGCATTAACTCTGAGTGATAGTTTAAATCTGGAGAGTGATGTGGGCTTTGGTGGAGGTCAGAGGTCATATAGTGAAAATGCAAAAACACTAAATGTGAGCTCTAATAAGATGAGAGCGTTGGAGAGTGACAGGCAAGAGATCATTTTAGAAATGGTTAGTGGTGATAAAGCACAGTCTGAGGCTGCAGACGTTAGGTGTGTTCGTATCCCAGGTCAGGCCCTACTACAACAAAGGGGTAATATAACTGCTGATGAAGAGTCATTGAATGCGTTTAGAAATAATTCTTTGAAACATTCAGACTCCAAACTGCTAACTCATACTGGAGAACATGGGCCAGTTACAAATCAATGGAAGAAGCTAGAGAAACCAGTATCATTGTGTATATCACCACCCTCATCTCTACCAGTGATGCCATGTATGTCTTCATCTGCACCCCTCGACTTTCCTTCGTTAAAATCAACCATATCACCAGGGAGTGCGTGGTCTCCCGTGAACAGCAGATCTATATGTAGTCCCAAAACAGATCATCATTCATCTGCTTGTTCAGCCAGTAGCTTTCATCTTAGTGTTTCCTCTACAAAATCACATCAGGCTTTAGCCGCAAGACTTTCTACGCCATCCACCAGCACCCAGCCATCGCCTGGCCTACCAAAACAGCTGTCTCAGCCGACATTGATCTTTGATGGTGATGATTTCCCTCCATTGTCTCACGGCTTGGCACCATCACGCAGAGGGTCAAATATGTCTACAAGATCATCTGGGGGTAGTAGTTCGTCACATCTAGAACCCCCACTGCAGCCATCAAGCCAACAACCGTTGAACCAACAAATGTTATGCTTAGATATATCTGAACAAACACACACCCTGAATGCCTTTCTGGTTCACCAGACCACATCTGTCTCTGTGAGTGAAGAGTTACCCAGTTGCCACCTTGTGTTGCCAAAATCCGGCAGCATTTCTCAGCAGACTGGCAACAAGTCTCTGTCAGTGTCTCAGATTCCAGTACTTGATAAGCTTTCAACAGAGAAGTGGGTGGAATCCAGCGTGGCCTTCGTTAAAGATTTCAGTCCTGTACATTGCGAAGACAGTGCTTCAACAGTTCTCACCGAGTCCACAAGATTATAATAATGATTATGCAAAATGGATCCTTGTTTTAGAGCATAGTTTCCTTAAGTGGACAGTTTGCGTCCTCTTCCAGGTGCTAGATGATCGTACCCATTTGGTCTGATGTGTAAGAAGCTTACATTTGCAATGATTACTTAATAATCCATATTTATTACAACATTTCTCTGTTTGCTTTATTACATATGGTTAATTTTAAGGGCTGCTTAGTAGTTTTTTTGTTTGTTTTTTAAATTAAGAATGGACTCTAGGGGTGGCATTAGCTGGGAAAATAAATGTGTTTGAAAGCTATACATTGGATTTTCATTGGTGTGCCTGATTACTTAAAAAAATGGAAACTGAACAATTGAATTCGGTGAGTTCAAGCATCTGAATCCGGGATTGGGGTCAAGTCAGTCAGCATCAAGTGGCTTAAATAAAAGTTGTAACATAGTCATTTTACTTTCTTCTACATTCACAGTTAAAGGGCGGTTGGCAGGGGGTGTGGGTGTTTACACCTAGGCCACAATATCTGCATCTTTCAGCCCAGCACATCCACTTTCAGCAAACCTCTAATTAAATTGTTTTTTTTTTTACTTTTATTTTCAATAAAATTGAGGGGCTGTGGGTCTATTCTAATTTTTCCGCCACAGTGGAGCCTGGAACATGTGGTTATAAAAATATAAACCCAGCAGCACTCATGTCTTTCTGACTATATATTGGTCTTTTTGATCTTATGTCGGTCTTTCTGACTGTATTTTGTTGGTCTTTGTGACTGTATTGATCTTTCTGACTGTATGTTGGTCTTTTTGACCAAATATTAGTCTTTCTGACTGCATGGTGGCCATTCTGACCGTGTGCAGATCTTTCTGACTGTATACTGATCTTTCTGATTGTATTTTGGTCTTTCTGACTATGTTGCTCTTTCTGGCTGTATTGATCTTTCTGACTAATTGTATGTAGGTCTTTCTGACAGTAAATTGGTCTTTCTGACTGTATTTTAATCTTTCAGATTATGTTGCTCTTTCTGACTGAATTGATCTTTCTGACCATATGATAGTCTTTTTGACTGTATTTTGGTCTTTCTAACTCTATGTAGATCTTTCTGACTATATTTTTAGTCTTTCTCACTGTATGTTGGTCTTTCTGACAGTAGATTGGTCTTTTTGACAGAATGTTGGTCTTTCTGACTGTATTTTTGTAGGTTGGTCTTTTTGACTGTATGTTGGTCTTGCTGAGTGTATGTTGGTATTTCTGACTGTATATTGATCCTTCTTACTTATTTTGGTCTTTCTGGCTGTATGATGGTCTTTCTGACTGACTGTATGATGGTCTTTCTAACTGACTGTATGATGGTCTTTCTAACTGACTGTATGATGGTCTTTCTAACTGACTGTATGATGGTCTTTCTAACTGACCGTATGATGGTCTTTCTAACTGACTGTATGATGGTCTTTCTGACTAACTGTATATTTATCTTTCTTACTGTATATTGGTTGTCACCTCTGCTGTAATCAGACAACACTTGTGAATGTTTGCTGAATGACAGACAAGGATAATAGTTTGTCTTAGTGAAAAATATTCCTATTTGTTTGTTTCTGTACAGACTGGGTTTTCTTCTTTATTTTCTTCTCCTCACATTAAAGAAAAAATTATCTCTTAGCATTCACACAAATCTTATGACATATCTCAGGGTGAGATTTGATTGCAGCCTGTCTTCAAAGAGCATGTAGACAGTGTTATAACAAAAGTGCGCAAAGGCCTGTCAGCAATGAGTGTCCTTAACCACCGTTAATATTGAGCAGAGACTGCTTTTGCTTTCGTTCCAGTTCTTTCTTCATCGAATATGCTCTAGCCATTCTCATTGTCAGCCATACTTGGATTTAAAGACTTAAGAGGGTTCAATACTAAGCAATGCGCATTATTCTGGGGTGCGAAGCAGACACCTTGACTTCCCAACCATGAACTACGGGATCAAGATCTGGAGGGCTTGCGCATACTTCAAGATAAACTCCGATCTGAAGCACCTTTTGCACCACTTGCTCTGCAGGAAAAAAAGGCAATTGACTAAAAGGGGCAAATCATGGCTGGATGGGGCAGAAGATGACATCAAGCAGGTCTGCAGTCTTGAGGTGAGGAATGGATACCAGTGTCTAAAGTGCCCAACCTCACCTTTCCTGTGTCGTCACCCTTGACAGGAGCTGGTGGGAAGCAGAATCCTGTTGCTGTCAACACCGAGATTTGCGAGCTTATCGGTGAAAAATCAGATGAGATCACATAAAATATGGGCATTTACAGCTCACTTTTCAGGCAGAACAGTCTAAGAATCCAGTAGTGCTTTCTACATGACTACCAGCAGCATGACAATGAAGGTCATGGAGGTAACACAAGCCTTCATATGGTTAGAATCACAGGACTGTTCTCGTGTGTGTGTGTGTGTGTGTGCTAATTCTTTGAGCATGATATGGCCGGTCAAAGACAGTGAAATGAGTCATTACAAACTCTTTAATGTGCGCATTTACCTTCACATTTGTCCCAGGGCATTCATGTGTTGTTGACAATGAAAAAGCTGATAGACTGGCATGTACCGCATTAATGGCGGATGGCCGGCCCATGGATCACGCAGACATTGTCAATGCCCTGAGAGAGATACCACATTCTGAGGATCTTGGAAGCAACATGTCCATATCACGTTAAAGAATACGAGATTTGGGAGTAAACATCGGCACAGTCAGGCATGAGAAACCCATCGGTTGCACAATAAGTCTTGTCAACCAGCACAGGACTGGCACTATCAACCACGCCACGCTGATGAATATGTTGAAGGGGGGAGCTGAGCACCGATGTGTCCGGAGTTCTGTGCAGATAATCCAACTCATAACTCAAACTCAACGCCCTCCCCTCGCCACTATGTAGTTCTCTGTCATTTCATGTCTTGGACACGTGTTGCTATATTTCTACTATCTCTATAGTGTACACCGTATTTCTCCGAGTACAGGACACATTTATTTTTCCAAATATCAGTGTGCATCTCATACAGTGGCAGTAGATTTTTACCAAATGACTTGTTAGAAAATATCTTATCCAGGGTCTCTTTAAGGAAACTGGTGTTTTGGGTGAGATAAAGTTGGGGGGTGGAATTATAAAATTTAATGGATAAATGGATTAAAATCATTTGAACAAGACTTTTGACAGTGATGACAGTTCTGGTTTCTATGATAAATAAAACATGAGTTCAATAACTTTATGTAGTCCTGTCCCCCCCCCCCCTCCCAAATTTAAGTTCCTAAAATCGCGGTGCATCTTATACATGGGATTGTCCTGTATCTGGGGAAATGGGGTATTGTCAGTCTGTACTGTTGAGCAGCGAGATTTTGCAGTACAGTTAAATAGTTGAGAGATTAATTCTACTGGAGCAGGATATGGCTACTTCTGTATCAAAACTGTTGCCATGTTTTATTTTGACATCATTTCATGCCACAGCAATTCTGAGATCTCTGTTTCAGTACAAGCAATTTTACATATGCATACAGATTATTTGTTTATATTTTTGGAACACTTATGCAGGTGGTGGTGCATGTATTGTTAAGTATGTTATGCAGTTCTATTTTAACTACCAGTTGTTATATTTTTGCAGTAAATTACTGTTTGTTTATACATTGAAAATGTTTGTTGAAGGTTGTTAAAACTGAAGTTGTAAAAGGAAGGTTTGTGCTTAGGCATGGATTACTGTATCTGTTTATTAATGTTGTTAGTGTGGATTTTTGATACATTTATTGTTACTTTCCAATGGCAAAGGTAAAAAGATAAAGGTAAAAGTCGGGAGATGTGAACCAGCGTCATTGCACACGGTTATAAACCATAAGTGCTCTGCCATCGGTACTTCATGCTTATTAGGTTTGGTTTGAACAATGGATAAACATCATGGCATATGAGTAGTGACCCATAAGTGCTCCGTTCTACTTATAACTCGAGCCTGAGTCTGAGGTTTCTCAGTGAAGTGCACAAACTCCGTAGCACCAGCGAGGATCCTGGAATACTTTGAGAAGATTTTTTAACTCCAAATTTTGTCCAAGCAGCCCCATTGGGCTATTCTTTTTTATTTCCAACTGCCAAGGAATTTTTTACATGTGCAGCAATACACATGGGTGTCCGATCGTACTACCCAGAGACCAGGAGAAAATTACTAGAAGTCCACATTAAAAAATCCCAGCCCTCCCCGGGGCCTTAACCCAGGACCTCTAGAACTCGAGGTGGACACCATGCCTCTAGACCACTCAGCCCCCGGCTTGTTAAGCAGGCAGTGGGTCTACCACTCCCCCTCTCCCCCCCTCCCCCCTCCCCCTTCCTTTCCACGGTGGAGTTCTGAAGACCACACAGTGTGTTGCTTTAAATAATGATGAAGGTCATTATCATCATCAGTGTGCAATTTAATAACAAAGCAACACAGTTTGGTTTAATTGTCAATGTAATTAATTAATATTTAAAATAGTTACAGCTGTGTCTTTTAGGCTAGTTATTTTGCATATGTTAGCTTTAGGAACAGATGAGTCTTTTTAGTTGTAAATCTTTTTTTTATCTGTATGTACACAAGAGGGGTAGGTAAGCCATCAGAGTATTGTAGCCTATATAGGCGTATGGCCTATATAGTCTGTATGATCTGTTTTAGCCTGTAGTAGAAGCCAGATTTTTTGATAGCCACATGGCTATCAAGCCTCCAGATAATAAGAGTTACTTGTACAGATAGCTTTATACCAGTTTTGAAGATGAAATTGTCCATTGCCTGTAAAATAACAGTTGCTTGCATTTGACTGCTGGCAACCTGCAATATTCCAGTGCCTTTTTTCTATTGTAAAGTGTTGTGAGAATGTGCAGCTTTAATCGGGAGTCATGATTAAGATGGCTTTGTTTTCTTGTTTTGCTTTTAAACAGTTTTTTTTTTTTTTAACGGAGGATATTTATACCATAAGGCGGTGTCCGTGGCTTAGGCGTTGCTAGTCCGACTCGTAACTCCAACATGTTGC